GAAACAGAAAGATTAGCTACATGGCAGGCATTTCTCCGGGGCCTACAGCTCATTTTCCAAAAGAAACACAGAGATACATATTGTTCATGTCCATTGAGAGAGACATGCATACAAACTTATTAACCACTTCCATCCCAAGCCAAGAAATAACCAAGGAAACCTCTCTGCAGCCCCCATCTCCAAATGTAGTGCTGTGCAGATACAGGGTATTGGAGCATAAAGTTTTAATGAAGAAGTGCAACTCTGCCCACAGTAGGGCTGGTGGTAGACAGTCTTTCCTTCTGGTAGCTTCACTGCATTTTGACCTTCAACATTCCACAGACAACAAGTGTGTCTTCCCAGAGAAGGTGGACAATGGGAACTTTGTGCACTGTGAAGAATCTGGAAAGCTGGTATTAGTGTATTCCTGTTTCCATGGATACAAGCTGCAAGGCCAGGAGCAGGTCACATGTACCCAGAATGGATGGGACTCAGAGCCTCCTGTCTGTAAAGGTCAGTGGTTTCATGTGGTGTGGTTAACAATAATTACGAAATAATCTGTTTCCCAGTGGAGATCATCAGGTCCTTCACAAAAACATTATTCTGATACCTATCCCTACAGCTATCCTGGCACTGTGGGCACTCTGTTGCCCACATATCATTGCTTTCTCCAGATGGCAAAACGTGGAGACAGTCACATCAAATCTGGACTTGTGGTGATTTAGTCAAGGAGAGAAGAAAAGGAACTAGTCAGTTCTAGACACGGTTATCAACAGAACTGACAGACCCCTTTCCCCAGATGAAATAACAGAGAAGGTTCTCACTCCCAGTACCCATAGAAAGACCCAGAACTATCATGCCTTTGAGCACCGCCTTGCCTGCTGTGTTCTTGGCCTCCTCAGACTCAGGAAATCAGTTTCCAATCCTTCTTATGGCTACTAATAGGAGAACAGAAGGAAACAGGTACTCTCAGGTCCTGAGTAAGAACTCCCCTGGCTTCCTCTACCCACTTCTCTCTTGTAACTGTGCAGAGTAGGAATCACCCCCCTGATGGTTGGGAAGTTGGCAACAGTGTTAGCCTCTTGTGGGAAAGCCTGAGTCCTGGATTTTGTCTGCAGAGAGACAAGTCTGTGAGAAAGGATACACCCGAGCTCTAATTCTCTGCCAATGAGACTTAATGGTACAGTAGCTAGAATCTTCTCTTTTACTTAAATCTGCCTCCTTTAAATAATTCTTCTGCCAGAGGCATGGAGCAGTGATCAAGGACACAGGGGCCCTGTTTTTGCATAGGATATTGTGTCTCAGTGTCTGTCAATCACCTCAATGATAGACTCTTAAATAAAAGACGGACGCTGCATACCAAGTTTTCCCACAGAAGGAGTGGATGCCAGAGCCAGCCTTTCATGGCCTGCTTGCTATGGGAAACATTTAGCAAAGTCTCCAAATGCAGAGGTGATATCATGAAAGAACTTGGCTGGTTTGCAAACAGAGATAAAATCTGAAGTTTTGTTTTCTATTTAAGAGATATGGAAAGCTGCTATGACTGTATAGCACTGTGAACGTGCCAGACACCTCTGAGCTCCCACATCCAGTGTCTGAGGGTGACCTTTAGTTTCTCCTTTGCCACAAGGACGAACATTTCATTTTAACTTTGAAACCCAGAATGTTTTGTTCTTGAAGTGTTTCAATGCTCATCACTTCTAAACCCTGAATAATAAAGAGGCAGAGGGCCAAGTCTCAGCCTTGGCCATGATTGACTCCTGTGTTCTGCATACCAGGGCAGTCATACTGGGTTCCCTCAGTTTAAAACTGTAGTCTAAGAGAGCAGGAAAAGGAAGAGAGGGAGCAGAGCAAGGAAAATGGCTGCCCAGAAACCAATGGGTCTGAATCCTATCAGGTAAGAGATGGAAGCAATTGTGGGGAGAAAAAAAAAAAGAAAACCAGCCTGACCTGGATCCTGGGATGTAAACCAACAATTCCACTCTCCCAGGCCTTTACCAGTAGGAAGTGGGCTGTGAAGGTCCAGAGCTGACAGACTCCCCAGCTCTGTTTTGGATCTGATCATGAGCAACAGTGGGCCAGGGAACAAGGCCAAGGACTTTGTCACTGAGAACACAATCAGAGATTCTCTGCCAGAAGACAGAATGCCCATGGAAAGAGTGACAGAAGCCCAGATGTTCTACGAAGTGGCAACATCCGTGCACAGGTGTTGTTTCTGACAGCTGCTGCTTTGATCACTCTGAATTATCACATTTTGTAGTTAATCTTCATTAACATTGTGACAAACCTCAAAGCTCTCATGCTGGTTTGGCTTAGCAATTAAACAAGAAATGCTCACTTGGCTTGGCTTGCCACTTCTCCCCACTGGTGGTGTCTCACTAGTGTGTGACCCTCGGAGTTTGGCACAGTGATGTTCTATGGCTGGCCAGCCCTGGGATAGTGAGCTCTTAGCTTTTACACCTTACTTCATTTTGTCTAAAGACTTGAGCTTCTATGTCGTCATTCATGCTGTTTGCTTTAGGATTTATGACTGCAAAGGAAAGCTTGGCTAAGGAAACTCTGCATGCTGTCAGTCTGCTTGGGTGGACCATATTAAATATGAGCTGATGTAATGGTTCACAGGGCTCCTCTCTGATAAACTTTTTTTTATTGGATATTTTATTTACATTTCAGATATTATGCCCTTACCCCATTTCTCCCCCCACCCCGCCCAGGAACCTCCTATCCTGTCCCCCCTCCTCCTGCTTCTATGAGGATGTGCCCCTACCTACCCCCCCCCACTCCCACCTCCCCACACTCGGCGTCCAGCCTTCATGGGACCAAGGATTTCCTCTCCCACCTATGCCCAACAAGGTCATCCTCCCCTACATATACAGCTGGAGCCATGGGTCCCTCCCTGTGTGCTCCCAGGCTGGTGGTTTAGACTCTGGGAGCTCTGGTTGGTTGGTATTGTTGCTTTCCCCATGGGGCCACAAACTCTTTCAGCTCTTTCAGTCTTCTCTCTAACTCCTCCATTGGGAACCCCTTGATCAGCTCAATGGCTAGCTGTGAGCATCTGCCTCTGAATATGTCAGACTCTTGCAGACCTCTAAGGAGACAGCTATATCAAGCTCCTGTCAGCATGCACTTCCTGACATCCACATCAGCATCTACCTTTGGTGACTGCACATGGAATGGATACCCAAGTGGAATGGTCTCCAGATAGCCCCTCCTTCAGTTCTGTCCCATACTTTGTCTCCATATTTGCTCCCTTGAGTATTTTGTTACTTCTTCTAAGAAGGACTTTTAAAAGTAGAATACCCATCCTGCTTCTACTAGACAGTTTTATGTCATAGAAATCATTGGGGTTTTTTTGAGTTCACATCCTCAAGCTGTTTTTATCCTAACTTTTTACTTCAAGAGTCCCTAGCTCCTGAAAGTTAAAGAAGTGTGGTACAATGGTCAGTAGGTACTAAGGACTTAGTAACTATTGACTTAATTTCTAAGCTTCCTGGGTGCTTCTAATTATAGGAGCATCAGGTGACATGGCCTCAAATGCAACAAGTGAGCTCATAGTGTAGACTCTGGGAGCAGAAGACATGGCATCCAACATCCTCTTTTCAGACCAGGAGCCTTACAGGGCCTCAGTTCTGAGATTAAACTGGCATTGTCTCTGAGACACTGCAAAGACAAGTGTATTAGGAGTGAAGCCCCACTGAGCAGTACTGACCAGAACCTGTTTCCCCAGGGCAGTAACTCAGCAGCTTCACAGCAGATTGGGTCTTTTAGAAGTGAATTACTCTGCCCCTTGAAGTCACACACTTACTCCTGTCTCCAACTCTTCAAATGTACAGTGAGAATGGTCATGGGATCCAGCTCATTGGTTGTCTGTTTAAATTGATAAATGAATGCACAACACCAAGAACAAGGCCTAGTGCCCTTACAGCACACCATGAAATACCATGCTGAATACATTACTGTAAAACCAAGTTTACCCAAGATACACTACTGAAAAAACCAGAAGTGACAGAGAGGTATGTCTAAATGAGAATCCATTCTGATTTGTTTAGAAAATGGTACTCATTTGCATGGTATGCACAGACAAAGCTTTTCATGAGCTTGCAAAGAGCATAGCAGAACTGAGACTTTATAACTTCAGGTATTTCTACAGAGTAAGATGAGAAGAAAGAAGAGAGATTGCTAGTTTGATGAATATAAGTCCATGTTTTCAGCCATCCTATTTTTATAAAATTTTTTACACAAATAATGGAGGTACATTGAGAAAACCTTCTAGGTGCAGGTATGTTTACATCTACAGGTCGTCTTCACTAAATCCTACCTCCACATATATTCAAAGAAGGAATAACAAGGAAACAAGCCAAGCCTTTAAAGAATGATAGAGACTAAATATTTTTGTGATTAACTGGCATGAATATGTCTCCAACCCATCTCGAACCAGTTGCAAATCCATGTGACTGGCTATTGAAGGGAGAGCTAAAAGATTAAGTAATTGACATATAAAATCCAATGAGATTTTTTTGTCTTCTCTGTTCAAATCTCATTTAGCCTGAAATCCATCTATGATGGTTTGAATGAGTTGAAACCTATACTCTCAGGCATTTGGAGACTTGATCCTCAGTGGGTGGTGCTTAGGGTGTCTTAGGAGATGTGGTTTTGGTAGAGAAAGTGTATCACTAGGGACAGGCTTTGAGAGTTCAAACTCTTGTGCCATTCCAGTGCTTGTGGTTCAAGATGTGAGCTCTCTCAGCTGTTTCAGCAACCATGCCTGCCTGCTGCCACATTGCCCTACCATAATGGACTATTAATCATCAGCACCCTTCCTTCTACAAGTTGCCTTGATTATGGTATTTTATCACAGTAATACAAAAGTAATAAAAAGTACACTTATGTTGATAGTACTAGGAAGAGGCTATTTATTGCTATGCCAGACCTGAGTATATTGGGTTTTGGAGGAATGTGGAAGACCTTGGAACTTAGGACCAGAAAAGTAGTTGAATGTTGCAGTGTAGCTTAATAATGTTCCCATTAGGATCTCGGAGGATAGTAATGATAAGAGCTCTGTAGACTGTGGAGGCCCATGTCAAGAGATTCTAGAGGAGAAAAACATCAGTAACTGTGTTAGAGAGCATTATTATGAGATTTTGGTAAAATTGTGGCCACTTTCTGCCCTTGTCCTAAGGACTTGTCTGGGAATAGATTTAAAGGTAATGGTTTAATTTATTTGTTGAAGGAGATTTTAAGACACCCTCATATTGATTCTAGCAAATGGTTGTTAGTAATCACTCTTATGCATGTCTGTAATGAAAATGAGCAAGGAGGACCAAAAGAAATGCTATGTGTGACTCAGGGCTCTAGAGTCCATTGCAGGCTAGTAGGAAACTCTGCAGTGTTATCCACATGGATCTGGCTTTAGAGTCATGAAAGACATGAGAGTAAAGAGGTCATGAAATCTTCCCCTACAGTCTCAGAGAGCCACTGAGGTCAGTCAGTGTGTAGCATGACTTACATGAAGTCCTTACATGAAGTACTTAAGAGAGCAAGAGGTCCTAAGAGCCCATTGCATGAAGCTGTGAAAACAAAGCCTGTGTTTCAGTGAAGATAACAAGATATTTCATACATCACAGCCATGGAGTACCTGCCAAGGACAGCTGAACACAGGTAGTGGAGGGAGAGACAGAGGTAGCAAGAGACAGACAGACAGACAGACCTAAAAGGAAGGGCAGATATGTCTATGTCTTTTGGCATCAAACACGTAGCTACAAGATTTGGTATTTTCCATATTGGGTTTTGATCTTGCCTTGGCCCATTATTTTCTCACCATACCTTTTTACCTCCCTTTTGGAATGGCAGTGCATATTCTATGCCATTAGGTGTTGGAAATAATACAATTTGCTTTTTGAGTTTACAGGGGTTACAGATTAGATATTGCCTTTAGTCTCAAAAACGATGCAGACTTTGGACGTTTAAACTATGTTAAAACTTAAAGACTATGAAGATTTTCAGAGCTGGACTAAATGAACTCTGCATTATGACATGGCCATCAGCCTATGGAGTGCAGGAAGTGGAATGTAGTATTTTGAATGAGATGTCTCCCATAGTCTTGGGCATTATTTGGTCATAGTTGGTTTCACTGTTTGGGGAAGCTCATCATGTGTGTGTCAAGTTTCAAACCTAGGACAAGTGGCTAAGGTAACATATCAAAGTGGACCTGGCCTCTGGGTTCTCCCAGCATCCCTCAGTCCCTACCTGTTGCTGGTATATCCTACACTCTACCCTGAACTTGCCAGTCCAGGGACTAGATTGCCCTTTCTCCTATATAATTAAAACATTTTGGTCACCTACTCTCTCTACCCTTGGTTTGGCCTTCTGGATGCTGGCCTTGGCTCCCCTCTCTCCCTCATAAGGGATAAACACATCTATTTCTACGTCTGCTTTCAGGAATAAACAGATCTGTGAAGATACGTTCGTGGTGATCTGAGGACACATTCTAATGCTTTTGAATAAAAACAAAATTTTATCAGACATGTAACACTTTGATCTTCCATTCAGGTTGCACTAGAGTTCTAATAAGGTAGCCAGCCTCAATATGTTTTCTCTTTCCTTTGTAGAGAGCACAAATTTCTACTCAGGGTAGGCTTACAGCACACACCTCAGGGTTAATCATCTGCAGGAAAGCCCAAAATGTCTATGGTCTAAAATTCACTAGCTCCTAGATTATTGACTTCAGTTTAGAAGAAACAGAAATTGTTATGACACTGGTATCCTTGAGGCCAGGGGTGGGCCTAGGTGGCCTGAAAAAGAGGTCTGCTGTATGGAGACATGGGCCTTTTCCCCCCTACTACTGACTGTGCATTGTTGCTGCAGATATTAATGAGTGTGCAGATCTGACACACCCACCTTGCCACCCCTCTGCAAAGTGCAAGAACACCAAGGGAAGCTTCGAGTGTTTGTGCACAGACCCCTATGTGCTCGGTGAGGATGAGAGGACCTGCATAGGTGAGTGGCTTCCTCCCAGTGCCTGTTGGCTGATTTCTTTGAAATAAGAAAAATGCTGTGTTTGAGGTTCTCATACTTCAAGTGTGTTCCTAGAGGGTGCCCCCACACTTTCCCAAGTGCCAAACTGAAGCTCACCTTGCCTAGTAGCAAGTGAACAATGAGATCCTAGAGAAATTCAAGGAATGGTACCCTGACAGCTTTTAATAGCATGTCTGAAGCACCTTTTCTATGCAAATCATCCTACAGAGTGTGTAGAACAGAATTTGAGGCAACTTCTGTCTGCATTTACTGCTGTAATTCAAGAAAGCTAATTCAGAAAGAAACCTGCCAAAGTGAACTGTGAGGCTCTGGAGTCAGCATCCTAATTCCCTATAGGCCAAGAAACATTGCTAACCTCACTTCATCCCATGAGAGTGCTCCAAGGGCCAAGAATACAACTCCTGACGCTGTCAGTCAGCTAAAGGGCACCTGTCTGCAATTCTAATGCTCGGCCCAGGGTGTCTTCAGAATTCCTTTCCGAATGATTAGCACTGAAGCCAGAAAACTGTTGAGAACAGGGTTTCTTCATTTGATGTGTTGTCACCAAAGGGCACATGTTCCAGAAACACAAGAGATGGACAGTGGCCCTTGTAAGTGTTAAGACTGAAGGTCTTAACCAGGCTGAAATTGATCAAGTCATTCCAGAGTGATGAAATATGGAGGTTTCACGCCTGCACAAAGGACTCATAAAGCTGAGTACAGTGCACAGGCCAAATCCTGATACTACTATAGTCATGTACAGGCCGAGGGACAGTCGGTGGCCTAATGCACTACCAAGACCAAGCTGGGGAAGGATAGAGAGATCTTGGTAAGGCAGCATCCAGGAACGAAGCCAGGTAGAGAACGAAAGTTGTCTAAAAAGTTTTTAATGGAAATGCTGCCAAATTTAAACTCCAAGAGTCAACTTTAAGAAACTGGTGTCCCCAGCTTCCAAGGGGGTAAAACCCTGAGAGATTTTCAGATTCTAGAGAGAGAAAGCAGCGAGGGTGCAAGTTCCAGTTGGAAAGCCAGTCTAAGCTACCAGGGCACCAACTGCCTCATCTCTCAGAATCATCCCCAGCCAGCACTGACCCAACCCCTGCTGCCTGCTGCTGGGACTAGTCCTCATAGCTTTAGGGATGTGGCACCTTTTACAGTGATGGACACAGGACATGACACTTAAAAGACAGTTCTCTGCTGGGTGATTTCTAACAACTCCAAGGAGTCAGTGATGAGCAGCTGACAGGAGAGTCCCTAGCAAGGTTGTCATAGCAGAGATTTTGAAGCAAGGGCTACTGGCTGCAGACAGACAGTTGCTCAAAGGAAGTTACTTTGGTTAGTGTCTTAGTTAGGGTTCTACTGCTGTGAATAGATACCATGACCAAGTCAACATTATAAGGACAACATTTAATTGGGGCTGGCTTACAGGTTCAGAGGTTCAGTCCATTATCATCAAGGTGGGAGCATAGCAGCATCCAGGCAGGCATGGTGCAGGAGGAGCTGAGAGTTCTATATCTTCATCTGAAGGCTGCTAATAGAATACTGGCTTCCAGGCAGATAAGATGAGGGTCTTAAGTCCATGCCCACAGAGGCATACCTACTCCAACAAGGCCACACCTCCTAACAGTGCCACTCCCTGGGCCAAGCATACACAAAGCATCACAGTTAGGCACTTGGCAGCAGCACAGGAGGCATGAGAGCAATGGCTGCTCAGACTCCAGGATCAGATGCTACAGGTCCCTGGCTAGGCTGGTTCAACGGTTCCTCCCTTTGCTCTCTAACTCCCAGTGAATTGTTCAGTTTATCTCTATGTGGGAAAGATCACTGAGAAATTTGCTGTCTGTCCCTAGATCCCTCAAAAGTTCTAACTGCAGAAGGCTACATTCTGCCTTCCTGGATCCTAGCTGAATTCCATAGTCTTTGCAAATGCATATGAAGATAGTCTGAGTATTGTGCTGTGTTCTTCAGGTACAGCTGCTGTGTCCCCACTGTCATGTCCCATCTGAGTCTTTTAGGAGCCTTAAGAAGCAGTGGCTGTCACTGTGCAACTGTGCCTGTCACTCTCCCAGTTAAGGGCCAGTCCCTGCCAACTTTTCCTTCCTTCAATTCACCCCAGGAAGGACGTATTATCTAAGCAGCTTTTCCACCATGAGTTGTGCTGAGGCCAGCCAGGTGGGGATCTGTGGCCATGCTGGCCAGATCTGCTGACCTGTGTCCTCCTGTACAGATTCTGGCAGGCTACCTCGGGCATCCTGGGTCTCCATTGCACTGGGTGCACTTCTCATTGGTGGTTTGGCCAGTCTCACGTGGACTATAATTTGCAGGTGGTAAGTTCTTCCTTCTGCCCAGTACCTACACAGGGTGTTTCCTCTCCTCTAGGTGTGGTTTTTCCCAAAGCATCCTTATTATGAGGGAAATTGAAGGCCCAATCCTACTTATCATGGGCACTATACAGCAGACTAGGCTATCAGGTGTGGTTTAGGCAATAAAGTTGAAGTGGGTGACATAAGGACAGAAAAGCTGGACTTATTCAATGAGAAGAACCCAGATCATGCATGTAACATGTATGACCAGAGTGGTGGCAAGCTGTGGCAGTTACTATCCATCAACCACTGTGGCAGGGCCCTATGAAATGTTGTGGGAACCAGTCAGGATGCAGCTGAGCTGTTTGACTAGGCAAGATAAGCCCCCAAAATAATAGGACAGGGTGAAGATGGGCACACATCCATAGTATGTAGAGCATAGCATAGGTATTCCCAGGCAACAGTGGCATTATGAGAGGTTCTTCCACTAAGCGGCTCACACATATCCCAAGTCTCTGGCCGTGGTGACCACCAGCTTATCAGTGTCTAGCCTGAATTAGGCTGTGTCAGGTTTTCCTCTTCCCCTCTCCTCTCACCATCCTCCTCTTTTCCTGCTCTCCCTATCCCACATTCACCTTTCACCTCTCCCTTCTTCCCTTTTCTCTTCCCCAATCCAGTCCCTGAACGAAAGACTTCCCTTTTATAGTTCAGAGCATTCTTTCCCAAGCACACAGTTAACCACAGCTCACACGCCTTGCATCCCCCAGGTAAAGATATTTACACACTAAGTGGGGCTTGGTAGCCTGTTTTAGGGTCCCAGAATCCAGGACCAGGTCCTACTTTATTTTCTTGGAAAGGCATTTCTTTAAACCATCATCACCAACCTTACAGGAAGCTGTTATCTTGTTGTAAGAGGGCTAGGATTGTGCACATGACAAAATTCCTACTGAAGAGGAATGTACAGACAGAAATGGAAGAAAGCATGACTCTTCTTCAAGTATCACATAACCACTTGCGTGCACACAGGAGTGGAGAGTCAGAAGGTAGATAGGCTCTGTGAAGTGACAGTAATGTGGCCTTACATGTCCACAGGGCAGCTTATAAACTTACAGCTGCAGCAAATGTGACAGGCCATTAACAAGAATGGAAGCAGTCAGTAGCAAGCTTCTGCTTTACAAATGGGTTTCTCCTTGCAGGAGCTGCAATTTGATGAACACATTTCTTGAATAATTAAAAGCATGATAAATTAAATGAGGCAGGGTCAGGCACGGGTGCAGCTTTTCGCAACGTACAATTAGTGGTTTTGCTAACTACTGTGCTTGGAACTCCTTCTTACACTACCAAAACTACTCTCCACTGGCTCCTCCTCTAGAATCAGGTTACCATTTAACAATCTGCATGAGGCCATAGAGACAGCCTTTCTCAGTGATCCCCTGAGTGACTTCACTGATGCTAAGTTCAGAGAGGTGGCTACTGTTACTCTGTCTGCGTCCAGCTCCTGTGGAGCAGGATGATCTCAGTCTCAGGCCCCTGGAGTGGTCTTCTAAGTTTTGACAACAATGACTAGGTATATGTTTATTCACAGGACACATGCTGATAAGAAATCTACATTGCGGATCACAGAAAGAGATGCAAGAGTGACCACCCAGCCAGAATTCAGAAAGAGTCAGGAGAGGGGCATTTCACCACACAAGGTGGCATCTCAAGACACTGGACAGGTGGGTACATACTGGTGTATGTCTGTCTCCCCAATACTAGGGATGTCCCTCAGACTATCAGCTGCTTTTGCACCTGTACACAGGTGCCTTCCAAACAGCTGTCTAATACAGACCCCTGTTCTATCCTTTACTCCCCCTCCTTCTAGTTTTCTTTCTCACGCTACTTATACTTATAGAAGACTGATAATTTGTCAGACGTTAAACCTACTATTTGAGAAGTACTGATGAATTACAATTAGTAACTGTCAGGTCCAAAAGAAACTTGGGACAAATGGCTGCCTAGTGTGGCACTTATTAGCATACCAAAGCACATGCTGGCCTCAGGTCCTCTCAACATAGCAAGTATCTGTTACAGAGTCGATGCTGGGTTCCTAGCTCTTCTCACCCTCTACCACTCTAAACTTCTCCAGCTCATGGACCTCCCTTCCCCAGCTTCTCAATCCCTATATAATTCTGGCCATATGCTCTCCTGGCACTTGGTCCCTTCCCTCTCTTGGTCCTCTTGCCTGACCCCCAGTCCTTGCCACTCTTTTGGTCCTCCTCCTTCTCTCTCTCTCTCTGCCTCAATCTCTCTCTCTGCCTGCTCAAAATGGAAGCATTTTTCAACTGAGTTATTTACTCAGAATAAAATTTTCTTTTTGATCTTCTATCTGTATTGTCTCTGGAGTAATATTAACCACCTATATAGCTCAATAAAATTTGTTTTCTTTTCAAATTAACATTTCTACTTTACCTCTTATTCCTTGAATTGTGACCACCTTTTTACTTTATTAAAATATCTCTCTCTCTCTCTCTCTCTCTCTCTCTCTCTCTCTCTCTCTCTCT